AGTCTATGAATTCCGTGTCGATTGGATGCCATTGGTGTAAGTCCATAAATATCCACCCCAAATAAAGATCCGGAGATTTTTAAGTAGTCATTTAGAGGATAATATAAATGACGGAAGCTATAAGGGCTCGGTTTTATATGCATTGGCATTTGCATGTGATGAGGAGCCGAAAAAGACTCAAGGTTAAAATGCAGGAGTGAATCTCATTTCATTCATGACATGATATGGTAAATTCCAACATGGAGTACATATATTCTTGATTGGAATGATTACATGATTATATTTGTTGTGTATTGTGTTGCATGTATACATTCATATGCACGTAAGTGGGAAGTAGCTCTTGTAAGAAATATTCTACTAGGCGTTAACTCACCCTATACGAGAACACATTTCAGGTGCGAGGTTCGTACTGGTGGAGGACTCACATTCGGAGCCTCAACGTTGAAGAAAAGCGGGGTTGTGGCTTTTGAAAAGAAGTTTTTGTAAAAATTTTGTTAAAAAATTTCATTCAACATGTAAATGTATGGAATTTTTTGTAATAGACTTGTATGGATCATATATAATGTAGAAAACTTATTTATACATGTTTTGGATGAATTTGGAAAGGTTTGGATTGGATTGAAAATCAATAACAAGTGAAAAAGGCAAAACTGGACAAAGTGTACCGGTACAGTCTGGTCCAGAAAGAAAACCGTACCGGTTCGCATTTCCCAGAAGGCAAACCGTACCGGTACGCAGTACCAATACGCTTTTTTGCCAAACTTTAAATTTTTTTTTTATTTTCTTCCAAGGTCTTGGGCTATACATTCTTTAGTCCAATGGACCATAAATGAGATATATTGGGGTACATTGAACCTAGATAAGATTAAATAAATGAAAGAACCGGGTTACACGTGTGAGTTAAAATCCCAGGTAAAAGGATACTAATACGTGATGTCGAATTATGCGGCACTCACAGATATTTCTGCAGGTTGACGGTGATCAACGGAACCCCCCGGTTTTAGGGGCATCACAAAAAAAGTAATTATGGTGATTTAGGTTTTTATTGATAATCAATTAGACTAACCTTAAAAAATTTATTCATCTCCTTTGTAGGTAAAATGTTTATTATTTTACATGTACAATCATAAAAGAATATTCAAATCGAGTTTCCCTCCCAAATCAACAATAAGATTCATCAACGATTGAATTTCCACCTTTGACCTTCCTAACACAGTCCAAAGAGTAGGGTTGTTCCTTATATGTGGTTCTGGGCTTGATTAATTACTTAATCACCTTCGTGCGACACTGACAATGCACTATAATGTTATTTTGTTTATAAGTATTACTACTTTGGCAAGAGATTAGTGATTGGTTAAGTTGTCCATCATGTTAATCATTTATCACGTCTAAATAAAATACACAAAACTAAATAAAAAAGTAACCAATAACTTAATTAGCCACCTTTTAGCCGCATATCCTTGTCTGTCTTTGGTTCCTTAGATTACGTGAGCCATCTCTCAAAATTACCCTTTTTTTAGTTAGTAAGGAGAGATAGATTGACTGCCCCATCTAGGGATGTCAGTGGACTGAAGCGGGGGCGAAGAGTGTAGTCTTCATCTTTGTACCCACTTAAAAAAATTACGTCCATCCCTGGTCCACCCCCGTTAACGGGTATAGTTTTCATCCTCATCCTCGTCTCTGTCCGCGGGTAAATTTCTAATCCCCGCCCAAGCCCAAGCCTAAGCCTAAGTCCAAGTAGTATAATCCAAAATTTTAAATAAATTTAATATTTTAAATAATCCTACAACATTCTAAATAATCTAACATAATTTAATGCAACATAATGTAGATTACAAAATATAAAAGTCAAAATAATATAGTATTCTATTTAAAATGTCATTAGACCACAAAAAGAGAAGTGAAACTTTTAGAGAGAAATGAAGAAAAAGAAAATAAAATTGAACTAAGAAAACGATAGCACTACACTTAAATTTTCCTAGAAAAATTTTTATTATTACAATTCATATTACAACCATAAAATGTTAAAAGATGAAAACTTAAAATTTTGTTAATTCAATAATTCTCCTCATTTCTTAGTTCACTCTAGCAGAGAAATCCGTCAACCTCCGTTCACAATATTTCTATCCATGATAAAATGTAAAACTATCTTACTCTCTCTTATCTGTTTTTAGAGCATGATCAATCTAAACTCCTAACAATTTCAATCAATAAGTACAAATAGAAAAAAGAACAATTAGGAGAAAAAGTTAATAATATTACCACATAGCAATGTCACTTGTTAGTTTGATTACCATATTTCTAGATTAGTAGTTACAGTAAATATGTTTAGTTAGGGCTTGAGAATATTTCTATATATATTTAACGGGTAGCGGGGGCGGGGTAGGGGTAAGGATAAGTTTATCCCCACCTTCATTCCCATATGGGTTTATACGGGTATTCCTGTATACATCTACCATCCAATACGTATAGTCCATCCCCGGTTCAAACGGAGAGGGTTTGGACGAATACCCGTTTTTCTTCAGTCCACTACCATCCCTAGCCCCATCAATCCATAAACCTAGAAAGCGAAGGGCAAGTCGATAATGGCTGAGGTAAGCATTCGAAAAAGAAAAAATGTTGGGCGAAAATCAATATAGATATATGATGGGTCAAGCCCAAGGGTCCAACCCCAAGAGGTTCAGCTAGCCCAACCCAAAGGAGTCTGCGCCCGGTTAAGCTCATCAGGTTCCAGGAGTTACATCAGTAGAGGAGTATGCAGAGTCGTCTAAGAGCTCATCCATGCCACCTTGAAAATAGTCAATACCCCAGTCATCCTTTGACCGAATCTCATAGAGAACACTTTAACCGCCTCGTCCGTTGAGAAGAAGTCGTTAACTCCACCAGAATAGTTATTTAGTTGTTATTAAGTCACCTCAATCTGTTAGGGGGGTGAGTATATGTTGTGATCGTGCAGCAATTATGGTAAATAGTAAGGAATCAAACAATTAAGAAAGCAGGAGAAAATAACATACAGAGATTTATGTGGTTCGGCAATGTGCCTACATCCACGAGAGCGAGCGGCCGTTCTTTTCCATTATAGAATAGGGTTACATCTTAAGTATTTATATAACCCTAATATGGACGTATTTACAAAAATACCCCTGTACCGTACCGCGGGGGCGTTGCCCTCGTACCCCCAACTAATCAGCGTCCCCTTTATTTAAATCCCGCAAGGCAGATGTCGTCGCGGGCTCCGCTATGCTCCGCCCGCTCCGGCATCTGCCTCCTTGCCATTATGCACACAGCAAATATGAGCCACACATACTCTAACAGTATAAATTATAAACTCCGCCAACACTTGGGGAATATGACATTTTGTTAAGCACAAGTCTGTCCTCTCCCTCGCACCTTATAGTTCTCTATTCTCCTTGCATATTTGAGTTAATAAAATACTCGACGATCCTAGCTGTTCAAAAGTGGACATAGGTCACTTTGACCGAACCACTATAATTCTTGTATTTTGTCTACTTTAATTATTGCATTTATTACTCATATCGGTGGTGTGCAAACCCAATTTGTGCATCATCAATATAAATTTTAAATTAAATAATCTTGTCACTAAATTTGAGAGTTAAAAGTTTTGTCACTCTTAGTAAAGTTGCACGACGACATGCCTTTGTGGATTAACAGAAAATATAGTGATGCTTATTAAAAAATAAGCTGCTAGTACACCCAATGTAGGGGTGCCGAAGATGTATGATGTCCAAGTAAGCATAGATATAAAAAAAGTGAAAGATAAACAAGAATGTATCATCAAATGCTCTTGTGGATAATTTTGATTAATGTTACACATACTGTTGACCCTTATTTATTATGGTTGGTTGATAACGTTTTGTTTGAAGTATTTCCTTTTTTTGTTTTTTTTTCACCTAAACGGAGTTAACGGGCTTTCCTACTATATTAGCATTTTTGTTTTTTCACTTTTTTGTGTTCAGATTTGCTCCATCCCTCAAGTTTAATCGCATGTAGAGTAGCATATATGTACGCACACAAACTGACGTGTACATATGTGTATTTTGATAAAATAGTAATTAAACATGTTTTCTTTAATGAGACTACTTTTTTTTTTACTTTAAAAAACGATATACTTCATTATAAACTCTTTGATTTATCTCTTATTTATGGGTAGTGTTGAAAGTTGAAAAAGTACTACTAAGGCATTGTATTGGGACCTGAATGCTTTGTTCCTACTCTTACCATGTTAATGGAGAAGAAACAACTAAAAGGAAAAGAAAGCAAGAGAAGAGGTTTAAATCTTGAAAAGGGAAAGATATCTGCAATATATGAAAATTTTCTGAAAAATATTGGGATACATAAATATAATAATGGCGTATTTAGTTCACCTTATTCATTATTTTCATTGGATTAATTAATAGTAGAACCCAACTTTGGTTGGGTCTTCCTGAACTCATTGACAATATTGAAAGTCTCTGTTGATTATATTAAACCCAATATTAGTAGTGGAACCCGATATTTGTATAATTTGCTTTAAAGGAATAAATTATTAAAAAATAGTAAGTATTTATTTAAAGAAAACAGAACATAAAAATCAATGGAATACAATAGGATCCATGCTGAAAAATACTTTACAAAAACATTATAAACACCTAAAAGGTTATCCTATCCCTGTGTTGCACCTTGTGCCAAGCATTGAAATTCTTCAACCAAATTGAACAGATATCTGTTTTGAGATTAAGAATATAAACACAGATAATAACCAAACAACAAAGCAAACATTTTTGAAGTTAAAAAACTAATGACCAAGAATCTTAAACAACACTTTTCATTTATCCTTCTCTTTGTGAATTCTCACCAACAATCAAATGTGAAAGAAATTTGCCTTTATGGAGATAATATAAGGGTAAAGATATGGAAAATCTCTTATTCTACCTACAATATGTTTTATTCTAGTAAATTAAGTCAAGATGGAAAATTTCACATTGATCTAGCCTTAAACATTATTTAGGAGTCGGTGAAGAACGACGAGGTGACTTTGGAAGCCCCGGTGGCCGTTTAGGTAAACGTGGTGGAGGTGACTTTATTGGAAGAGTACGACGAGGTGGCTTTGGAAGCCCCGGTGGCCTTACAATATGCCTTCGAGGTGGCGGAGGCCTGCGTCTCCACCAATTGGCCAGTTTTGATTCAAATTCGATTCTATGTGACAGAGTTTTCGGTTTCTGTGCTTCATGGATTTCAACACCTGAGGCCTGTAACGTTTGCTCTTGTGGCCTCCTATCCTCCGTAACGGAACTATTAATTGGAGTTACAAAGTTTTTTTCAGCTAGCAAGGGCTCGTTGTTATGATCTGCAAGAGATGGAGCAAAAAGAAGGATTACCACCCCTAGGGAAACAACAAAATGATTGTTAACCTTCATTCTTGAGATATGGGGTATTTTCGAAGTCATTTGTGGTCATCAAGTGAACAAATAAGAGCCTTTTTATAGATAAAGATATCTTCAATCCTAATCCAAACCCTTATTTAGGTCTGTTTGAATGGCGGTAATCTGGATTAGGAATGTGATCCTCATTCCTAAATCCTAAATTACCATGTTTAAAGATTCAATTATTCGGTAATCTAACTTGAGAATAAGATTACTACAGTAATTCAATTCCCAATAATAGTGGGTATCCTAAACCCATGACTAATGATGGTACTCTCATACTTATATTGATTAGGTATTCTATAAAATGAATAAAAATTCCATAATGAAACTTCTTCCTCAAATTAATTTCTTCTTCTAAAATTAAAATATTTCCTAACATAATTTGGTAATGACATTAATTCTCACATTAGATTACTGACCATAACTAAATACCAAATATAAGATTACTATGATATTAAAACTTGGGTATCTCATTACTAGGAATGAGATACTCATTCAAAATTAAGATCACTGTCATCCAAACGTGCCTTTAAAATTTAAATTTGAGTAAAATTGAATTAAAAATAATCTCCCGTCCTTTACTCAAATTTATAATAAATAATAGATTGGAGACTCAAAATTTTACTCAAATTAAGAGATATTCAAATCTTTACTAAAATATTTGATGGCTAGATTTCACTCTTTTGAAAGATCCAGTGGTCATATTTCACCTTTCAATCACAAATTTTATTTTTATTGGCTTGTAGTCTTTAAATTTTTTAATTCAGTTTTTTGGCTCGTAGTCATTGAATGTGAAATCAATAACAACATAACAAAAAAAATTAAATAAAACAAGTTACCCTAGATGTATCACATTTTTATTGAATGAAGAAAAAGGAAGTCAATTATGAAAATTAGTATTAATTTCTCCCACCTTTTAATTTATTGTTATGCAGGCTGCAGAAAAAAGTATCTTCAGAACTTAATTACGGAAAATGACTTTAAATTGCTTTTGATGACTAAGAAATACTGAGACAAATATACTTTATTTTTATTTCCTTCAATAAGAGATTATGACCGTGTCCAGATGTCTTTTAATATATATATATTTAATTTCTTTTTAAATGAATCATTCACCATTAATGAGTAAGCGAACCCGTTTGTCAACAAACGGTCCCACTTAAATGTATAAATAGATGATCCATAAAAAATATGATTTTGAATTTTGACAACTCTTTGGAGTGTCTAGGCGTATTTATCCCTTATAAATACCCTAATCTCGGAATGGATGGTCTACCAAATACCCCTTTTGAAACAAAAAAAAATGAAATATAATTGAGTGTCATAAGAACTTATGAGTTGTTCTTAAAACAAGAACTTTATAATAGAAAATAACATTAAATGTTTTAATCCCTTTTTTTAATAGTTATTTGCCCTAACTTATTCTTTGAAATCAATTGGGTAAAATACAGTAATGATCTATTAGTATACCATTGTGACATTTTGGTCCTCCTTTTTTCGGTTGTCACTTTAATAGCTGAAGTTATAAAAATAAACAAAAATTGTTTATTAAAGATGTTCTTTAATGGTTGTTGGCCTTGACTTGTTTTCAGAACCAATAGAGTAAGATGCAATAATAGTCCATTGTTATATCATTTTAATCCTCAAGTTATTTTAATTTCATCTCGTTGCTCAAATATTTATTGTATGCCACGTTCGTCCGATTGAAAAATAATATTAACTAAATTAACAGAAGTGATCATGTACAACTCACGTGACTTTTTTCAAACTCGTCACATCATTGGATATAGTTCGTTGTACCATTGGAGAGCAAAATAGCAAATTCCAACATCTTACATTCATCTTATATTCCTATATTTGTTAAGAAGTCGGATCCATCATAAAGTGTGAGCTGATAAGGATAAGTCAACTGTCACATCTGTGAATAAAAAAAAATTGTTGGATTGGAAGTCTAGTAGAAATATTATATTTTTATAAATAAAATTTTCAAATTAATACTCTCTGAAAGCTGTTATCGTGGTAGATTTTAAGTGTTTCCTCCTCCTCTTCACCTCTCTTTCTCCCCCCAAGTGTTTGTGCGTGCACGTGTAGAGCGATAACTTGAGGGACAGTCCCCAAATTTTGCTCCATACATAAACTTAACAAATGCATCATACTATGAGTGAAGCTTGAGTTTGTAGATGATAATAAGTTTCTTTTGCTACTCCCACCATGAAGTCTTTATTTCCTTTTACTTGCTTTCTGTTACTTCATTTTTAGCTATACCATTGAAACAAGTGGATCTTCAAATAAAATAATCTTCACAACAATTCAATACAACTGATTTATCCTCAATCGATAATTTATTGACTTGCCTAATCCTCACTCTACTATCAGTTTTTGTGATCCTTAGCTCTTCAAATCAATAACTCCATTAATAGATTGTATCAAACTTATCATTTTCCGTCGGAAATTTGGAAATGCAATATCCATCAACGATTGAGTTTCCACCCCCTCTAAGACACTCCAAAGTGTAGGGTTGTTCCTTATTTGTGGTTTCTATTATGCTTCTTTTAGAGGCCTGACTTACCTAATGAGCTTCATCCCACACCGACAACACACTATTATGCTAATCCAATTTTAAGCACCACTATGTTGGCATGAGATTGGTCGTTGGTTAGGTTGTCTGCCACGTTTATCATTTATCAAGTGTAAATGAAATATGAAAAATTAAATAAACACTAAAAAAAAGTAACTGAAAATTTAACCAACTACCTTTTAGCCACATATCTTTGTCCGTATCTGGTTCCTTAGATTAGATTAAATGAGCCATCTCCCAAAACAACCTAACTGTTTTTGTTTTGTTTTGCTTTGGTTGGTAAGGAGAGATAGATCGACCAGCCCATCAAACCATAACCCTAGAAAGTGAAGGGCAAGTCAATATCACTTCAAAAATTATCGTCGAAAATCACTTTTTAACAACAAAATTTCTCTGTTCGTTGCCAAAACTTGACGCTAAAAAAAAGTTCTTGTAGTGTTTGGAGAAGAAAATTGTTGGCTAAAAAATCAATGTAGGAATAAATTTTAAACGAAATCATAGTCAGTAAATTTGAGAGTTAGAAATTTTTTCAGTGTGGTAAAGTTGTATGATATGCTCATGAAAGTACATAAGCTGCTGGTAGACCCACGAAGAATTTTATGTAGAGGTGCCTAAGATGTATGATGCCTAATTTCCACTATTTTCTACACTTCATCATAACAGGAAAGGAATGTATCTCCAAATGCTCTTGTGGATCATAATGATTAATGGTCCACATACTGTTTACCCATATCTGTCCTGGTTGGTAGCTAAGAAGTTACTCTATGATATTGTTTGATAACTTTCTTTGAAGTATTCTTTTGTGTGTGTTTTTTTATCTAATTGAAGGTAATGGGCGTTCCTACTATATTAACCTTGTTTTTTCATTTTTTCTTGTTCGGATTTGTTCCATCCATTCCTTCAAGCTTAATTGCGTGCACACACACACACACACACATATTGCTTATATACGAAGAAGTAGATATATTTTGATAAAATAGTATTCAAAAATCGTTTTCTTTAATGAAATTACTTTTTTTTTTTACTTTAAAAAAAAGGAACTAATAGGTACACTACATTATAGATTCATTGATTCATTTCTTGTTTATGGGTTGAGTGTTGAAAGTTGAAAAAGTACTACGAAGGCATTGTATTGGGACCTGAATGCTTTGTTCCTACTATTACCATATTAATGGAGAATGAAACAGCTAAGATTACCTTTGAAAAGCATGAGGAGAGATTTAAATTTTGAAAAAGGGAAAGACGTACTACAAGAAAAACGATTTTTGCATCGGTAATTTACCAATGCTAAAAATCCATTTGTCTGAGTCAAAAAGTATTTGAATCAGAAAATAGATTTTTTGCATTGGCAAAGTGGGAGAAGTAAATAGTGAGTGAAAAAAATAAATAAATAGTTAGTGATGCAAAAAGTTAGCATTAGCACTTTGTCGACGCAAATAAGTATTAGCATCAGCAAATACTGAAACAAAAATGCATATGCAAGTAATGGGAAAGACGTCACTTTTTTTGCATAAGTACATCATAGTGATGCAAAAAAGTGAGTATTTACATCAGCATTGTACCGACGCAAAAGGTGAGTATTTGCATCGGCATTAAGCCACTAATGCTGATGCAAATATCCTACTTTTTGCTTCAATCAATTTGGCAAGCAAAAAGTAGGATATTAGCATCGGCATTAAGCTGAAGCTAATACTCTGAAGCAAAAGCCTATTTTTCTTATAGTGATTTTTGCAATAAATGGAGAATTTTTGATAAATTACCGAGATACATTAATATAATAATAGTGGCGTACTTAAATAATCTTATTCGTTATTTTCGTTGGATTAATTACTAGTGGAACCCAATATCGTCGGGTCTTCCTAAACTCATTGACGACATAGCAGTGTTATATTAGAAAATTAGATAAGCAAATTAGGTTTCAACAAAATCCTCATGCTTATAGAGCTAGCAATAATTTAATCTTTAATTTTACTATTGTTAAAAGCTCGATATAGAATGCGAATCAAATCTCGAACAGTTGAAAGTTCTTGAAAAAATTATTACTCTTACATGTATCATGCGTATAGTTTTTTGAGGTACTGGATCTGATGTTTTGTGACCACAAGCATTTTTGTTCGGATTAATGCACAATGTTCCGATATAGATACGATCCACTAATAATTTGATTTAGAAGTATCAAAATATGATACGTTCTATTAACATGACAAAAAATTAGAGAGTTTTAATCTTTCTTAAGCCACTGTTTAATAAACGAGTAGACCCGACACGACATAATTAATAAATGAATCGAATATGAGTGAAGTCAATTAAAAGAAATACATAACATAACTCGTTTATATACTAGTTATACATGGTTCATACACGACATTAATCCGATATGACACAATTCGTTAGACATGAATAAATAAACGAATCGGGTATTAGTAGAATATTTTTTAGACGAATTCCCTAAAATTCGATATATGAACTCATCTCACTCGATACAATTGACAAGGTTAATTTGAATTGAAGACCACCAACTCTGCAAAATTGGTTTAATTATATGAATTACATAAAATAAAATAGTGTTCTAAGATTGAATTGGTTTCATATAATACGGGATGGTTGATATGCTATCTTTGTACAAATTTGTGGTGCACTTACACAATATCAAAGAAAATTCTTTTAAGTGAAATATAAAATCAAAAAACATAGCCATTAGATTCTATCTATTTTGCTGGAAAATGATATATAGTATGAAGGCATTCAATGCAATTTTCCATATTTAATACACCAAATCTGTCAATGGTCAAAACATTTAGTAGATCTTATCCCAGCTGACAGTTTCTTCAATCCTTCAATAGCTCCTTAAGGAAAAAGTGAATGAGAGAAGATAAATTTTTGCTTTCATCAGTTCATGCACAAAATGGGTAAATTATATTGACACCTCCTCTGATTTTTGAAATATCACTATACACCCTTATAGTTTATATATACGTTTCAAAAACTATCCTTACTCTCTATTCTGTTCCTGACAAGCAAAAAAGCTTGTTATGTGATGGCTAATTTTCCTATGAGTTACCTATTTTACCTTTAGTGCTATGTATACACCAAGATTGAATCAACATTATGCCATGTTGTTCTTTCTTCCTATTTAATATAGTAAGCATTTCTTAGTGTTAAATTAATAAAATAATTTTAATTTGATAAACTTAAATGTTAAACTGATGAAATTAAATTTTGGTTTTAATTTGATAAAAATTAAATTTTAAATTAATGAAAATAAATAATAATGGCGGTGTGAATTTAAAAAAATTGAATAATAATTGAATAATGTTGATTTGATAAAATAAAAGGTCAATTAAGCATTGATTCGACAAAATTAAACATTAATATGATATTAAACTAATAAATAATACTAATTCTAATATGAATTTAATTAACTTGACTATTAATTATATATATATATATATATGATGTAATTATATTAATAATGATAGTTTGTGAAATAGACACAAACTCCTCCCATAAGCAAAATTTTATGTAATAAAATAAAATCATATTTTTCGTTATCACCATTAACGCACAAAAATTGATAGGAATGGACGGTGATATATCAGAAATTAAAAAAGGTGTCAGTAAAATATGATCTAAATTTAAGGGGTGTGGATGATATTTATCCAAACATTTAGTAGATCTTATCCCAGGTGACAGATTCTTCAATCTTTCAATAGTTGCTTAAGGAAAAGAGCAATGCTACATGAAAAGATAATTTTTGCTTACATGCTCAAGGTTCCTGCAACCATTATAAATGGGAATTGGCTTTCAAGCTTAACCAACCCCTTCCTAAAATGAGCCCTACATACTTTCCTCTGCTCTTCCTTGGCCTGTTGGTCATCCTCACCACTCCCATTCTTGCTGATACCAACAGCAACTCTCTCCTTGACGGTGATGGAGAACAATCGACACTCTCCCGGAAGCTAAAACCACCAAGGCGTCCTCCCAAAAGTTCACCACCCCCGCCAGATCCACCGGAGGAAGAGACTCCGCCATCGGAGGATGAACCACCACCACCACCACCACCATGGTGGAGAAGAAAACCACGAATAAAGGGTCGTACCAAAAAGTCACCACCACAGCCAGATCCACCGGGGGAAGAGACTCCGCCATCGGGGGAAGAGACACCACCACCACCATGGTGGCGAAGAAAACCACGAATAAAGGGTCGTACCAAAAAGTCACCACCACAGCCAGATCCACCCCCGGAGGACGAGCCTTGTGCTTCCGAGATGGCACGATCTCTGGTGGTAGAGAATGAGGAAGTTTTGTATGAAGATGACAAGGTGGAAACTATGTCAGTAGGTGTGCTTAGAAAAAGGTCAGGCCGTTCTCGTGTTCCACCGACTCCTCGTCGTCGACCGCCGCCACCACCTTGTTCTCCCCCTCCTGACCCACCTCAGTAGGCTTGTTATGAGAACAAATAAAATGTTGGAAACAAGAGCTATAGCTCAACGATTGTGTCCTATCAGTCTATAATGATTATAAGTCTTATATGGAACTTTATGAAAGTATATCAAATACATAATACAAACGTTTTAGGACACAAACATGTCCAATGCGTTGCTACCTTGAAATTGTTGTGAATTTGGACTGATGCAAGATTTAATGGCTTTCGCATTCTTTTCTAGAAATGGCAATTGTTAACAGTTAGCCAATCAGTTATCAGAAGCATGAAAAGGTTCACATCATAATTAAGTTGATCCATTTAACTCGGTTAATAAATAGTTTGATATATATTATACATGATTGTGGTCAAGTATAGGTACGACTTGAGTCCATTTTCGTAACACGTGATTCAAATACCAAACGAACTCGATATGACATCTTTTGTGTGTTTGGAAAGTGAATGAAAAAATAGGATATTGGAAAGTCGGAGTGATATATTTTATATCATTCAAGGGAAAAATCCTTTCTTCTCTCCTTTATTTTTGGTAAGAGGAATAAAAAGTATGAAAGATTAATTTTTCTGTGTCTGGTGATAGAAAAAATATTTTGTCATTCCTATTAACTTTTTATCCACTTTTCTCTCAAGTTTGGAAGAATTAACTTTGGTGAATTAAAAAGAAATTCAATTCATCTACTTTTTTGTTCTTCCTATTTTCTTTCCTTACCAAACATGATGTTTTATTTCTCCCTCTAATTTTTCATCCTTCAAATTTTTCATTCTTCTAACTTTTTATCATACAAAATTCTAATTTGTTTTGCAATTTCAATAATGTACTTGATGATGCACAAATCGGTTTTGCGCAAAATCAACAGTCGAGTATATCAAAAGACACAATTTATGAGCAGTAAATAGACAATCAATGGCAGAATAGTAAATAATTAGTCAACACAAAGATTTATTGTGGTTCGGTCAGGGTGACCTACTCCACTCTCAGGAACGACAACAGCGGTGGCCAGAGATCTTTATTGATGAATAAAAGTCACCAAGAGAGTTACAATGCTTTTGGGGGAGAGAGAGAGAGAGCAATTTGTGTAAGGAGGTGTAGTATGTGTAGAGATTTCGTAGAGATCTCAAGGTCATCAAAGGTCTGCCCTCTATGTAGAAAGGACTTACATTTTATAGGGATGGTGAGACGGTGACGTGAGGGAGAAGGCTTCTACCATTTTGATAAATGCAATTTAGGTAAGATTAGATCACTGTACATATCCCGATATTCTCTCCCTCATGCTCTTATTCAGTTGGAGGAGGACTCTGAGCTGAGTTAGACTTGAGTTGGAGTGGCAGAGTCAAGAGGACGAAGGAGGACAAAAGGGGTAGCCTTAGGGAATGCCTGGTTTGGTTGAACTCTTGGGCGTTGGTTCTTAGTGCTTTGGACATTGGCCTCTTGTGCGCTGGTTTCTTGGACGTTGGCCTCTTGGGCGATGGCCTCCTAGACGTTCGCCTCTTGGGCATTGGCCCTGTGGCCTGGGCGTCACCTGACTCCTGGTTGATTTACGAGTGGCTCACTTGATTTGAACTCCTGAGTTAATTTGGCTCTGATTGAACTTTTCATTGGGCTTTTTCGGCTTACTTAGATTGGGCTTGGCCCAGTCAAATTCGAGCTCATCATTTGTCCCCCATGGCCCGAGCCTCTGACTTTTTCGAGAGGAAGGGGTCATGGGCATGTGCTTTATCTTCATCAGAGTGAGCCGAAATTGTCCTCGTCTTCAGGACTCCATTGTATTGATCGATATCGATTTTTTTTTTTGTCCTGGGCATTGCCTTTTTGCTTTTCTTTTTTGGCTTGATTGGGTGCCACCCTTTTTGACTTCTCTTTCTTCTTTTTTTTTTCTTTCTTGGCTTCCTTTGGGCGCTGCCCTTGCTTCTTCTCTTTTTTTGTTTTTTCTTTGGTCTAGGAGCTGGCCCTCCTTTCCCTCTCTTTTTTTTTTCTTTTCTTCCTTAGCTTCCTGGTTCTTACTTTTTCCCATTTTTCTTTTTTTTTTCTTTTTTCTTTCTTTCTTTTTCTTGGGCGCCGCGTCCTTCTCACACTTTCTTTTTTCTTTCTTTGGCTTGGGTGTCGCCACCTTCTCATGGGCCTCCCTTTCTCTCTCTCTCTTTTTTATCTTCTTCCTTTGGTCTGCTTGGGCGCCGACCCATTGCTTCTTCTCCCTTTTTTTTTTTCCTTGGGCGCTATCCTTTGCTTCTTCTCATTTTTTGTTTTTTGTTTTTTGTTTTTTTTTTCCTTCTGCCTGGCCTGCTTGGCCGCTACCTCCTACTATTTTTTTTGGCTTGGGCGTCGCCTCCTCCTCTTTTTTTTTTCCCTCTTGATCGATGGTGGAGGCTGCTGTGGGCGCCGCCTGGAGGTTGGCAAGCGCCTTGGGCGATGCCAAGAGGTTGGTAAGGCGCCTTGGACAATGTCAAGAGGCTGGGCAGGCGTATTAGGAGACGCTCGAGATTGGATAGACTCCTTGGGCGACACTAGAATGTTGGCAAGGCGCCTTAGGAGACGCCAGGAGGCTGCCGGGATTGGACAGACTCCTTGGGCGACACCAAGATGTTGGCTGGGCCAGCACCAGGATGCTAGGCAAGTGTATTGGGAGACATCCGAGGTTGGGCAGGCGCTTCACTAGTGTTTTGGTCAGTAATTGACCTTGTCTCTAATTATAGGGGCCCTATTGATAAAGCGATGGTGGCGACTCTCTGCACTTTTAGGATGATGTCTTTTCGTCCTCCCAAGAGGGCGAGGTTTGATTCCCCTAGTACTTTTTCAGCCGAGGTTTGCTCTGATGACCAGGTTGCTTCCCGGGAATGAGATCCTATTGTGCCTCCACTCCTTTCCAGACTAGGACTTCTATGTGTATTAATGTTAGCCCTTGTACCGTTATAGGAGTTGAGACTTCAGTGCAATTTTTGCGGGAATTTATGGCTTTACCCTACTTCTAGTAGTGGCTCGATTGCAGATGACTTGAGCTTCAAAAGTGTGCCTGACACAAACAATGTTATCTCGATTTTAAAATATCTAATATGATTACCTGGAGAGAGAGAGAGAGACAAGTTATTTTCATGAGAGCAAAGTCAGAGTTGTGGACATCCCGCGAGGGGGTCGCATGAGCGGAGGTCGAGCTACGTATAGTCTCGGGAATGACCGTCATGGCAGAGGCTTACAAGGTGACTATTTGTGCTCTCGAGAGCAAAGTCATTGGCTGAGCTACGTGTAACTCGAGAGATGGCTACAGTAGCAAAGGCTTACAAGGTGGTGACTACTTGCACGAGAGTAAAGTCATAGGCTGAGCTTCTCTACGACTAACGAGAGAGTGCGAAGTTGGAGATATAGGCTGCTGAAGAGCAGTTGGTACTTGAGCGATAGGCACGAGAGGATGCCGCGGAGCTTGCACAATAGGAACGAGAGGATGTCGTGAAGCTGTTAGGGCTCGAGCGACAGGCACGAGAGGATGCCACTGAGAAGTTGAGGCTAACGCATAAGAGGGCTGCCCCAACATTGAGGCTGACCTTCGAGTAGCACTTGAGAGAGCTATTAGGGTAGAGGCTTACTCCATAGAGATGAAGGAGATGAAAAGGGCACCGAGGAGATAAGTAGGGCACTGAGGAGCTGGGAGCCTCTTGCCTAGGCACGGACGCTGAGGGACTATGGGAGCCACTGGGCATGGACACCGAGGGGCGCTAGTGTTAGAAACAGAGAGGTCTTTCTTGGATGGCGTGCAGAAGGTAGGTGACAGCCAACCTGGGAGTTGTCGACTTGGGTGATGCTAACTTGGGTGCTGGCCGCTTGCTACTAAGCGCCTGAAGCTAGACGCATGATGAGTGGGCCACTGTTGATTCTCTGGCTTTGTCCCCTGTGAAACACCAATAGTAGTTGGTGATGGAAAGAACCTTTATTATAGTGATTGTCACTCACGGAACAGTGACTGATCGTCAAGAGTATGACGACTGTTGTCTTTTTGTCGACACTTTATTGTTAAGTAATGTTCTGACTTTTATAAGTTGTTTGTAAATTTTAGGAAAACAAGACAATTTTGAACACAATAATCTTCGTAGAATTTTATTTCATAAGATGATAAATAACAAAATAAATAAGCTAAAACAATAAAGGATAGATAAATCTTCAGGTGCTCAGTGTCCCATAGGTGGGTCGAGACTTCACCTTCTTCTCCTAGCCCTCATGAGATCGTTTGAATTTCTCCGAGGGGTTGTTGGCACTCTCTGCCATCCTGGTCCCGACCAGGTGGCAGGGCTTGTCCTCTGCTAGCAATGTACTACCTCAAATGGCCACGTTCTATAAGTTTCTCGATTTGTCTTTTAAGATCAAAGTAGTCGTCCGTATCATGACCGTGGTCGTAATGGAAACGATAGTACTTGTTGTGATTTCTGCGGTTTGGGGCGGACTTTATTTTTTCGGGCCAACGGAGCATGGGATCATCCTGTATTTGGAACAGGATATGCTACGCGGAAGCATTGAGCGACATGAATACCTGTCGTTCTCTCAAAGGTGGGGACCAAGGCGGTCTTTGGCGGAAATGTTTTCTGTCCTATTCCTCTTGTTCTTTGTTTCTCTCCTGTCTTTGCGGGTATCCTTCCTCTTTTCGCCCCTATGGGAGGACTCACCTCGTCTGGCCTTGGTGACATCCTCGACGTTCATATACTTTTGTGCCCTTGACAGCAACTCGAGCATGTTGCAGGGCGGCTTCTTGAGGACTAAGAACATGAAACTGGACATGCAAAGGCCAGCAATAAGGCGGGTAGGGCCACCTTGTCATCCAGCTCTTCAATCTGAAGAGCCTCCTCATTAAAACAGGCGAGGTAGTCTCTAAGGCTTTCCTCCCTATTCTACTTGATGGTGAACAGGTGGGTCACAGGTTTCTGATGTCAGCGTCCCCCAACGAATTGGGAGACGAAGGATCTGCTTAGTTCTGCAAACGAGTAAATGGAGAAGGGCTTGATCTTCGCAAACCATTGACA